GGGAAAAAAGTCAGAATTCTGACTGAATTCTGACAATAAAAAAAGTCAGAATTCTGAGAAAAAATTCAGAATTCTGAGAAAAAAGTCAGAATTCTGACTTTAATCTCAGAATTCTGACTTTTTTCCCCATGTTAAACTGAAATAAAATTTAAAAATCAGTTAACTTTTTTTTTCCCCAGTGGCCCTAATCCTCTTCCGTACATTAGCTACGTTTAAGATGTGTAGAATTTCTCCGATCTGATCTAAATCTGGGTTGATCAGGAGTTCTAAATCTCTGTTATCATGGACACTAAATAAAAGGATCCAATCATGATGTGTGTAAACATGTATCAAGCGTTTGATCAGTTTAAATCATCTGAACATGTGCATAACTGTTAAGTTTTCTGGAAATGCTTTAATAGAAGACGAAGTTGCATGTTTTGTAAACAAACCGTATTTGCCCGCTCATCCTCAACTTTAGCTACTCTTTGCTCCTGCGTCTTACAATTCTTTTTCTGTGGTTCTTCATTCTTAGACGACATTTATTGTCATTTTGTATACACACAGTGTATACAAAAAGAAATTTCCTTTTGTACAGCTTTTAGAACATTTCCATTCCATAAAGTGAAGCAGTGATCAAATGTAAACAGTGTGGGAGAAAAAAAACATTGTGCAAAAAACGCACTGATATGGAAGTTCAGAGCATTAAATATGTATGGTGCAAATATGCAGAATTTTGGTTTGGTGTAATCAGTGTGATGTGGTGTCAGTGACATGATTAAAGAGTTTTCTCAGCAGTTCAGCTGTCAGATGGAAGTGGAGAGAAACAGTTTCAGAATCTGCTGGACCTGCATCAAATGCTGCTAAGCCTCTTCCCAGAGGGCAGCAGGGAAACGTCTATAGTGGGGGTGTGATGGGCTCAGGACATGAAGCGCTGGAATGAAATGTCTTTTATGGAGGGAAGATGAGCCCCAATGATCCGTACTGCTGTTCTCACCGCTCTTTTCACTTTCTTCCAGTCTGCAGCCTCCACACCACACAGTGAGACAGCTGGTCAGAATGCGTTCTATGGTGCTTTTGTAGAAGGTGGTGAGGATGGGTGGGGGCTAGGGGTGGAACGGTTCACAAAATCCACGGTTCGGTTTGATTCACGGTTTCTGGTCACAGTTTTCGGTTTGGTTCGGTATATGTTGATTGATACACCGAAATCCCATATAAATTTATGGAATTAATTAAAACAAAACCACAAAAAATAATGGATTGTAATTATTTTAAATGATCCGCGGAAACCCTGGATCATTTCCGTATGTTTTGCTGCTTTGAATTTAATCATCTCGCGCATGCTCTCTACCATCTCCAAGGAACTCAGAGGGGAGTGGACGGCAGCCACAGTGGGGGCTGTAGGCTTTGCTTTGAGCAGCCGGTCTGGAGCGCAGCGGGGCGGAACGGGGGTTGCTGACGGAGTATGAGGGCTTTAGGGGTTAGCATGACATGTTGGTCATGTTGCTGTTAGCGTAAACAAAACGTGTTGCACAATGCTTGCACACTGTTGCACTTTTATCCCCAACTTTCTTTCCGCTGTCATCGTAGGTCACTCTAAATGCAAAGCGCTCCCATACAGCAGACCTATAAAGTGCTGCTGGCGCGTCTTCCAACTCCTGTTCTTTCCCACTCGCCATTCCGACACAATTCTCCACAACAACTGATTTTTTCCCTGCTACACCCGGCTAAGCTGCTTCGCTTCTTCTTCTTCTTGTTTACTACTGGTGGTTGGCTTTGGTCGCAGTAGCGCCACCTTCTGCTCTGGAGTGTAATAGCTTCGCCTATGAGAAAAAGGAGCAGCGCATGAACCGAACGAAACACACGCGAACCGAACCGAGACAGTCGAACCGAACGGTTCGGACGGTTTTCATAAATCGTCCCATCCCTAGTGGGGGCATATGGGCTCTCCTTATCCTCCGCAAGAAGTACAATAACTTCTGTGCCCTTTTGATCAGTGAGGTGGCGTATACAGTCCAGGTGAGGTTGTCTATGATGTGCAACTCCAGGAATTTGGTGCTGCTGACCACCTCTACACAAGGGTGAACAACAGGGGGCTCAGGACGCAGCCCTGAGGGGAGCCTGTGCTTAGGGTGATGACATCAGAGGTGTACCATCCATCCCGGACTGAGATCTGTTTGTGAGGAAGTCTAACAGCCAATTTCAAAGGGGTGTATGGAAGCCTAAGTGTTCTAATTTTCCAATCAGATGCTGGGATGATGGTGTTGAAAGCTGAGCTGAAGTCCAGGAACAGCATCCGCACGTGGGGGTTCTTCTCTTCCGGACGTGCCAGGCTCAGGTGAAGAGCAGAGGAGATGTCGTCTTCAGTGGAGCGGTTCAGTCAGTAGGCAAACTTGAACAAGTTGAATGTTGATGTCTGTTGATTGACTTTTTCCAACTATGGATCTTTGCTGCATCAAACTTGTTGTTGGTGGCCATTTTGGTTAAGGGGTCAGTGGTACCTTATGCTAACGCTCCTTCGCTACAGGGGTAGAGGGCAGGATGGCATGCTCATCAACACATTGCATTTAGAGCCACCTCCTCAACCAAGGAGGACCAGGAGCCAGTGAATGAAGGTTAGTAAAGACAAAAACATCAAGCCGATGTTGCACACATGCACAGAGGAGATTGTTTTACTCCAAAGATCCAAATGGATACCAATCAGAATGGTGATCCGAAAAAAACAACACCTCTCTCAATCAGAATGAAATTTCCTTCCGTTCAGACTTATTCTGATTAGAATCATTAGTCTGACATGTTTACATGAAACATTTTTGATCTGATCAGGCCTTCAATCTGATTACTTATGTCTATGTAAACGAAGCTGCGATTGCTGTGCAAAGAAACGGTGAGGCCTGAGAAGAAGTGGGAGGTTTAATGCATCATCCATAAACTGATGTGCAGTTTTGCAGCATTTTAATTTTGGACTTCAAGAGCACAATTATAGTGGAGTTTATTAAAGATGGCCTCCGATCATCTTTGAAATATGGTAGATGGCTCGTAGTGGAGGATAGGTTGCACAGCTGATTTATGGAGGAAGGACAGAGCTGGCCAAGTGAGAAGGCAGCTTGATTTGCTGCTCACAGCAGAAATATTACCATTCACTTAACATCCCTGCGACAACAAAAAGACAATTTTATTTTATTTTTTCTACATATGAACTGGCAATAGGTTAGTTTAGAAAGTTATAAAAAGCTGACCTGTCCATAAGAGCACTAGTTCTGCTGCAACACGGACAAGAATGAGTCGCATTTTATGAATTAAAGCTGAAATCTGAACCATACTCTAGTTAAAATATTATTTTATAAGATCAAGGCTAGCCTAGACTCCTGGCACTGAACCGTCTCAAGAGTCATTTCTGTTTTTAAGATTTAGGTATTCAAAATTTACAGGATCTGGCAACAAATCTGTTTCCTAATTCAGGTCATTTTCTATTTCTGAAACCAAATCGGAGGCAGGAAATGAAGATCCCCCTACAAATGATTTCGATAGGCTGTAGACAGAGCTGATATGACAAGTCAGAGTGGGATATCTCTCTGCACTGGACCTGCTGCTCCTCTGAATGTCATTTACACAGGATAAAATCCTCTCCGCTTCTCTTTGGACACCATTATCTGCCTTTTAACTTTAATTCCCTCCCTTCATAAAAGAGGAGCTTGCCTAACTGACCGTCTATTTTTCATTTATGCAGCTTCTGACATAACAATAACCAGTGTATGGATTTTATCTTTCTTTATTGTAATTAGGCCCTGTGTGAGATAAAACTGCTACTATGCCAAAAAGTAACTCATTTGTCCAATATGTATGGTTTAATAAAGGCAAAGCATGAAACTCTAGTCTTTTCTATTAGTTCCCTTCATGACCTGTTCCAGTAAAACCCGTATCGCCTTATCATCATCATCACCGTGTGACCGATATGTCTAAAAAGTCAAGGATTTACTGTGTAATGAAAGAGCTGCGCCTGACCTTCCACTTACTCTCAGTGTTGTTAGCTTAACTTTTTGTGCTGTGGCAAATAGTGATATAGTGGAGAGTTTGGAAAACAAACACCAAGAAATTGAGAGGGAAAATGGTCATCTAATAAGCTAAACCTAATGAAAGCCATATTTATTTTTTGCTTTTTTTTTGTTTATTTAACACATTCTGGTGCATAGGATATAAACTCTGTTTTATATTCACAGGCAAAAAAGGAATTAGTGCTTATTAAGAAACTTGAAGCTTTTTTTATACCTCAGACATAATAAATCCAAAAGGTAATATGTTTTGGTGTCAGCAGTTAAAATGTTAACATCAAGACCTGTCAACTAGTAAACACCAGTTTTTTTATGTGACAGGCAAAGAAAAAGTAGAAGCTATTAATACAATAGAGGGGAACTATTGGGCCTCTTGGTTGCTTTTCTAGTATATTCCCTGCTTAAAAGGTCTTTTAGATTAGTTGGACAACCATATCCTTACAGTTGTTTCATTTAATTAATGGCATCATAGTATAAGGGGATAAATAAACATGCATGCTATCCTTCTCAGATTTTCCCGTTATAAACTATTCATGATCTTTTTAGAATAGCACAACTTAACACTGCTCTATTGTAATAAAATAAAGTAACAATACATCACATTAAGTTTGTGTGTTCCATATAAAATGTAGAAAACTCAAAGAGTGAAAAAAAGATCAAATAAATAATAAAATCATTAAAAGCATATTAACCCTTGAAATTTTCAGACTGCTTCTATATTCTAATGAAAAACAACTCTGTTACTTGATCCCATATATGGCATAAGACTTGATTTCATTATTGGCAGAATTAACATCCAAGTTTTAACGTTACCCCTCTACATACTCACTATTCAGAGTTGTGTTCCTCCTTCCCATTATCCCTCCCCTTATCTTTTCTCTCTCTACATAGACTTTGCCCCCTCTCAGGTCATTTGCAGCACAGGAAACCGATCAATAATGAGTTCAAATGTACTGGCTAAGTGCTTACCTTGGATACTGCAGGCCATTCAATCCAGCCTGGGACTTTCATCTGCTTACAGAAGAGTCAAGTTTCTTATGTCCGCAGAGCTCATAGGGCTTCTGAGAAACACATTTTGAAATACAAAAAAAGTATATCATAATAAAAACTGCAAGATAAAACTAAAATCTCCCTTAGTCACGCATTCATTTAGTTGAACTTTTGGAAAACATTGGCTGCGTTGATGCAATTGCAATTCAGCGATAGGTTGCCCTTTTTCCTTTATTTCGATATTTACTGCTATTCAAACTCCAGTTTGTTAATACAACACATCTGCAACTTGTTAAGATGTGCTGTCTTTATCCTTGTCTGCCTGACTGTGTGTTTCCTGGATGGGGACGCTTTTTTACAGTTGCTTTTGTATCTCTGCTTCCGTCTCCTTGAACCCCAGTCGGCCTCGGCAGATGGCTGCTGACACTGAACCTGGTTCTAATGGAGGTTTCTTCCTGTTAAAAGGGAGTTTTTCCTCTCCACTGTCGCTACAAGCATGCTTAGTGTAGCATCTGAGTCAATGAGTTGATGCAATCAACTGGTTTTCCTTAAATAGAAAACTTTTAATCAATTTGACTGTATGATCTGGTGAACTGTAAAGTGCCTTGAGATGACATTTGTCGTGAATTGGCACCATATAAATAAACTGAATTGAATTTTAATTCCTTGGAGATGAATTTGATGTTTATACAAATATTCAAAAGAAAAAACAGGTTGATATACAGCATTTCTGTGGGAATCTTAAAAAAAAATCCCTGGTAACCAATAGACATAGTTGAAGCACTGTATATTAAAATAACTTTAGGCAAATAAAAAAATCTAAAAGAATAATCAATGTTGCTTTCATTTGATTCCTAAAATACTTTGAATATAGATAGATTCAAAGACTGGAGGTAGTTTCTTGCTCTTTCATTTCCAGCATTGTGGACCACCAAGAATCCATATGGCAAATAAAAAGCTTTTTTCCCCGTGGTTAAAACAGAGAGAGGATAAACTGGACTAATACCTTTTGTACTTTAAACATACTTTTTCCGGCTTTGAGAAAAGCAACTCATCAAACTAGCTGGTGTTAAGAAGCAGCTGTGAAATCAAGCCCAAAACAAAATATGAAAAGTCATACAACTTTTAGCCATCATTAGTTAAACCTGACTACAACTAAGCCTATAAAGCACTGATGTAAATTTTAAAAATGTCGATTTAGCTCCCATGCTGGTTTTTAAAGCGCTCATCTGGCCGATACAAACTCACAAATTCTCCCACGCTTTAAAAAGGAACATAAAGGCAACACTCACCGATAAAGCTCTTCATTGTGGCCTGGATGTTTCCGAACAAAATCCCAAACGAACTCCCAGATTCGGATGCTAAAGTGTTTAGAAATGCTTCTCAGCTCCACGTACTAAGTATTGTTCACGCCTCGTTTTGTCGCTGTGCCTGTTGACAAGCCTGTGACGGGATTCAGTTCCTTGAAGAAGTAAACGTTGGAGTTTTTTCCAAGACCAAAGCAATCGAGCTAGAGTTGGTCCCATGGTGTGTGCTGCTGTGTGAGGACTGAACGATCGATTTTTCGATAAAGCGACTAAATGGTCTTGAAGCCGCTGATGCAGATGTGAGTTGTAAACAGTAAAATGCAAATAAGTCAAGTCTACTGTTACCCTACGCTGGTGAAAGCAATATTACAGCTTTTTTTGATGAATTTAGGCTACAGGTCCATCTTTGTCACTTAGTCTATAGCAAATTAATAAAAAAAAAAGTCAATAGTTTTAAAAGTGAAACCTTTATTATGGCAATGTTTACAGGGGCGGAGCAAGATTGGGGGCCAGGGGTGGCCATGGCCACCCTTAGCCAATCATTGGCCACCCCTATGGCCACCCCTACCATTGTTTCCATCTAATTCAGATAGTGGCAACAGTAATACTCTCAAGTGGAATATTCAAAACATTAAAATTTTTCATATCTTAACAATTAATTGACAATAAAAACACTGTGGGTAATTAAGCACATCAATATACTAAAATTAAAGATGATGAATACAGAAATCAAGCAGAAATAGATATTGTGTTTTATGGGGTAAAGAATAAATGATGTATCTCTGCAAGTCATCTAGGAGTCTTCAGTGAAATTATAGATAAGACTTTAGACTTGTAGACAGATTTTATTTGTCATTTTGTTTACACAAGTGTAAAACAAAAATAAATTTCGTTTGAAAACAGCTCACTGGACAATTGCATCTTTCCAAAAGTGCAGCCTTGAAAAATTGTAAAAATGACTGTAAATGTACAGTTCAAACTAAATGATCTAAATGATCAAATATAATAAATATATTAATAAAATACAATAAAATAACCCATTCTACAAAACATTCAGCAGTCTAATGGCAGTGGGGAAGAAACTGTGGAATCTGCTGGACCTGCATTGGATGCTTCCAAGTCTCTTCCCCGAGGGCAGTAGGAAGAGCAGTCCATGGTGGGGGTGTGAGGGGTCATTTATGATGTCACGGGCTCGGGACAAGCAGCGCTGGGATGAAATGTCTTTTATAGAGGGAAGAGGAGCCCCAATGATCTTCTCTGCTGTTCTCACCACTCTCCTCACTTTCTTCCAGTCTGAGACGCAGCAGCCTCCATACCACAGAGTAAGACAGCTGGTCAGAATGCTCTCTATGGTAAATAACTATTTTCATAAAAACTTATTCAATTATCAATTAATGCAGATATATTAATTCTTGTAAATATCAATTTTATGCAGAATGATTACTGATAAAAGTAGGTAAGTAATGTCAATGGAAAAGATGTTTGCCCAAAACTCAAACCTGAAAGAATTTTATCCACTATACCTTCTATCTAGAAAGCACGGGTATTTGAATATATTCATCAATTTGTTAGCAAAAGCTGTGGGAAGGTATAGTTTGTCTTTATCTAGAAATTATGGATGTTTTGCTCGTTCATTTTCCTGGAACAGTGTAGATTGACCCTGAGATTTTGGTGCCTATCTACTTTCGGCCACCCCTCTGTCTCCATTGGTCATTGCCTGGCCACCCTTATAAAAATGTTTTGGCTACGCCTCTGATTTCACGTAGTTTGTGTTTCTATATCGACCATAATGTGTCAAATAACCAACAAAAAAGCAAGATTTAGAACTTCCCAATTGTAAACAATAAACCTCTATAAAATATTTCGTAATATAGAACTGACATGTTATGGCCTGCACAATCATAGGCATGATGGCATAACTGTCCAGCTGACACACATTGTTGATGCTATACAAGCAGAGTATGACACAAAAGGGTACTCCTAAGAAACTGTCTAAAGTCTAAGAAGCTGTGTTGAATATCATATATAGTATGTGCGCAGATATTATTAATTGAAGGTAAAAGCTAAGGAAATAACCAAAGCCTATAAAATATTTAGGACTGATCACTTTCATACAACACAGCAATGCACAGTAATGCACATGGAAGGAGGATATTGTGAAATGCATGGACAAAATTTCAGTTAAATCTCTGTGCATGACAAATGATATGTATGTTTTTTATTTCTTAATTTATTTATATAGAGACAGATTTTCTGATAAAAAACTGTTTTAAATTCCCTTTTAAAAGTGAGATGCACACATTAGGCACAATGAATACTGCACAACATATGGGAATATTTAAAAGCTTCACTGACTTACAGTTAAATTAATCCATTTTGACTTTGACATTAAAAAGAAAATTTCTCACTCAAAAAAGCTTACATTTATATTATACTAGTCTTTTTTTAACCAATAACTTGAGCTATCTGTGTGTAAAAAACATACATTATGTGGACAAATGTGGTTTTGAACGTTGGAAGAGTTTATTAAATCAAAATCCTTACATTTTGAGTTATTATTTTTAATGAAAGACAATCAACATTTTTCATTGAAAGTGAACTCCAAAAATAAAATATGGAAACAGGCCACTGCCATCTAGTGATGATTGAAGGTAATTACAATGGTGCAATATTTTTTGTGTTCTGAACAAAAACAAATGGTTCCCTAAAATATATATTACAACAAATGGCTTTAATTTAAGGGTCATATAATGCAGCTGATCAATGATACATATGTCTTTATGACAACATATTTAGAAATGCACTACGTCCACATTTAGTAATTGAACAATAAGCAAGTCATACTATATAGTGTGCGAAACACATATTTATTTTAGAGCAATAAAACCAATTCCTTTTTAGCCCTTAGTTAAACTCTATGACATAGTTCAGTGGTCTATAGTTGTCAAGTTTTTTGTTACACTTCAGAAAACACCAACCTCACCTGGTACTTCTTCCATAAAACGATAAAAGCAATCTCATAAGTTAACTCATGTGGATTTATACCTGACATAAGCAAACTAATTAGATCTGTGTCTGGAAATAAAGTGTTTTTAACTTGCCACAATATTTGTAAAACACCTCCAAGTTAAGATTAATTGGTTAAAAACTCACATGCTGGAACCTTTACCAAAGTATGTTATCCTATTAGAGCTAAGCCAAACTAAACCTCAGTAATAAATTATTTTACTGCAGAATTGGTTACAACTTTGTAAGGGAACCTATGTATGAACATCTGTAAAGAAAACATTAATTTGAGGCAAAAAGGACCATTTACTAGAGAACTGTATTAAATGTAAGGACATTGTTCAGAATAAGCTGCTATTTCAGAATTATCAACAAACCTGTCATTGAATTAGGAGAGCTATTAGTTTCAGTTTCTAAATATTATGAAGAAGTGCAGAGACGAAAAGTAAGTTGTACAAAGCCTTATTCCCCCTTTCGTCAGGAAACACCAGATAAAGGTTCTGTCACGGATTGCAAAGTTTTCCAAATCTTTCCACAACTGCACTAACCTGACAACAGCCAGATGCATGTCTAGCTCCGCCTAGCTAGACATGCATCTGGCTGTTGTCAGGTTACAACTGCACAACACTCATGGTAGATATTGGTCCGATCTGGATTGTCCTGTTTTCTTATGAGAAAATAATTATTTCCTGCTCATTTATTATGCTTTTATTGGAGCATCCGTTGAAGACGAGACGGTTTCCTGTATTCGTAGTTACTAAGCAGATTCTTCAGATTGGTCTGAGCTCAATGAATTGGTTTACTTTTAGCTTTTTACCAGCTTTTTTAACAAGCATTAATTCTGAAAGCTTAATTTCAACTTAAAAATAATGACTGGATTTATTTAATATCTAGCAAGCCCTAGACATTTAAGCCTCACTAGGTTACATGATAGTACATTTAGGAAGAGAGCATTTAAAAGTTGTAATTTTTTTATATTTTGTTTGCTAAAATATTAAGAAAAAGTTTATTTAAGGAATATTTGCAATATTCTTTCAAGATTTGGCAGTGTAAGAAGGTACATTTAAAGGGAGTTCATTTCCCTCCAAAAAATCTCATCTTCTTTCTACTCATAATTGTAAAAAGTACATCATGTTTTTCATAATAAGCCATTCTTCTGAAATATTATGTCTTGTTTTTGTTACGATACAAATGCAATTAAGGAAAACTACAACAGAATCAACACTGTTGTCATAACAGTTGAAGTTGAACTTGTAAAATGTGATAGTTAAGTGTTTCCTCACCACAAGTAGCACCAGCGGTAAACCAACCAAAGTCAATGATTTGGGTTCAAAATGATAGTTTGACATGACAGCAATGATTAAGAGCAGAAATGCCCATCAGTTTGATTTTCTTTCTCTCAGTTTTCATAAAGAATATTTTACAAACTTTACAGCGATCTTCAAATGTGACTCCTGTCACATAACAGTTTGATGGAAAAGGCGAGGTCCACTGTGTAAGCTAATAGTGTGATACTAGAAAACACTGTTTCCATGGTGACCAGATTTAGGTTTTCTTGTTTGGATTTCTCCTCTCTCAGCTGCAGTATCTTGGTGAAACAAATCACTGTGGCCAACATGTAGAGGAGCACACCGATCAAGCTGAAGGCAGCCAAAAATCTGTCAAATGGCAGTAGGCATTGTCCTGCAAAGTCACCCAGTATCACTACCAGGGTGATGAGAGATATGACGACGCAAATGCCATATGAGACGCAAGACACCCAGAGCTGCCAGTGACCTCCAGTCTCCAACTTGGAGATTAACACCATCAGAGGTATCATCTGTAGACCTCCCCACAGTTGGATTATCTTAAGAAAACCAGGGAAGCTGCTTATGTAGCCTCTTTGTTCGTGCGCTTGGGTGCGAAGAACACAACACTCAGAGGCGTAGACCAAGAAGGTGAGACCAGAGCAAACTGCAGCTGCTAAACCGTGCGTAGTTACAACATCATGATCCATGACCTTCCAGGGAAAAACCACGGAGGAGCTGAAGTTCATCAGCACCCCTAACAACGCAACCGTCATGGTCAGGTTCTTCCACGATATCGGGAGGAGGCTGTGGAACTGGATGATGGTGATAATGTGTATGAGGAGAGTAACCACAAAGAAGAAACACCAGGTAAACATACAGAAAATCTTGAAGGTGATGGAATCAGGTGAAGGGTTCAGGCCTTCACCTTTCATTGAGGCCACAAGACTAAAGGCGATGCAACTGGAGAAGACTTCCAATGTTCGCACCAGAAATAGTGGACTGGTGAAGTCTCGAGCCTCAAGAACAATCACAGGCATTGTCACTCCTTCGAATCTGTCGATCCAGTGTCCACATGCAAAAGATTATAATTTTGAAATTAATCCTTCAGTTTCACTTCCTGGAGATTCAGCCTTTGTGAGGCACAGTACAGGTCCAAGGTTTAATCCTTATAGCTTCAAGTTGTAATATCTCCCCAGAATCCAACAAAACATGAGAGTTAAGCCTGTCTGGCGGAGGTTATGAAGAAAGCCATCAAAACAAGGCTGAAAAACTCACAAAAGAATCATCAGAAGCTTAAAGTTTGTCTTCTTTATTTCTTGTCGTTGTGCTTCATCTTCTTACTGAAACAATCGAAAACAGTATTTCTTGGAATAAAGTTTTGAAACGATTGTGCCGTGAAAAATAAACCTCGCCTACTCACCTACTTCCTTTTTGAGGTTGCAGTCGTGCTCATTCTGTCTCACTAAATGTAGGTGCAAATGACCACAATATAAGACTAGAGCAAACAAAGCTATCTCCCTCCTCCTCCTTCCAATTCTCATGAAAAGCAGCTCCCTTTTCTCAGGCAGGAATAATAAATCAGACATCCAAATGATTGGCTGTGCAGCATATCATGCTGCACATGGGACATTTATTTTAGAAAAAGATCTGTTGGGTGCTGCGGATCATTTAAATGTTACTTCTTAGGATCAGTTTGTGGGAGTGTTCTTGCTTAACCCCCAGAGAGATGAAGCTGATTACCTACATCCTGTTTCTCTTTTCAAATTAACACGTGGAAAAGTGCATCTCTGAAATGGAAACAACAGTGGGTTCCAGCAGCAAACCCAACGCTTTGTATCTCCTACCTGAATGCAGACATGGGGATGCCTTTATTTTCTATGTCGTGATGATTTACTGTGAAATTCACTGAGGGATGAATTACCGGTAGAAGAAATGTAAGGAGGCATGACATTTTAACAACTTTTAGGGTAGTTTCCCCTACTTACCCCAAAAACAGCCCAGACCAACTAAGCCACTTAATATTTGAAGCTGAGATCTGCTACCAGAAGATCATTTAAGTCATGGATCTTAAGAATTAGGTTGTCAGTAAAACAGAATTGTTCAACATAAGTCAGAAATGTTGCCATCTAGTGTATTTAAAACAAAATATCAAATATATAATAAAATATAAATTGTAACTGAAATTTTTTTTTAAATTTTGTTTTCCCCTAGTAGCCAGATCTGTTGCATATAAAAGAGAACACAGTTAATCATTATTCATAACTCCATGGTCCAGCTCCTATGCTTTTGTGTTCGTTTTTGGAGTTCATCCTAAATATTCCATGGCTTTGCAGCTCCATGCAGAACAAGCTGTGATGCATTTTGTGTTAAGACATCTAAGCTGTCGTAGCTTATCTGTTGGATCAGACTACACAGGCCAGCCTTTGATGCTCCTGAACATCAATCAGACCTGGCCATTAATGATCTGTTAGTTTACCACCTTTCCTTCCCTTTACCATTTATAGATTCTAACCACCTCCAATTGGAAGTGCTACACTCAAATCCCCGTGTTTGTGCATTTCTCCTGCTTGATACAGAATCTTTCAAGCTATAAGCCATGCAGTTACAAAGACATAACCAATATTGTTACCTTTGCCCTATCATCAGTAATGCCCTATCAATGTATAAGATAATACATATGGCAATAATTGCAACTTGTATATTTTAGGGATTAAAGTGCTGTTATTTTTTTTTTTTTTTTAAACCGGAGTAGAACCAAAAACAGAAGTTCTTTGAGTTATAGCTTTCATAAATTACAATATTTATGTACCACAGCTTTCATCAACAATTTACCCTCCTGGATCAGCCATCCAGTGACAGCAGCATGATTTGCAACACTAAGGTAGGAAGGAAAACAAAACCACTGATCTTTTATTAGTTTGAATACTTTTTCGAGAGATTTTACACAGTTTAAGTTGGCATCTCCTTTAACAAATATTGATTCTAGCACTTTTGTCTGGTAATAGCTAATTTAATTCATGGTAATATATATATATATATATAGACTTTTATTTTGTACTTAATTGCCTGACTTCATTTTTTTTTTATTAAGTTTCCCAAGAAGTTGAAAATAATAGTGGCAATCCTTAATTTCAAACAACAAAGTCCATGCATATCAAACAAGTTGTAAAAGATGTTAGGGAAGCATGCCTTCTCTAAAACAAGAAAATAAATAAATAAAACTGTATTATCAGTGGTTTAAAAGTTTTCAAATTTTTCAAATTGCTTATAATAAATCTTTATGAAAACAAGATTATCTAAAGTATTTAAAATCAAATTGTGCAATCATGCTATGGGTTGACTAGCAGAGACATTTGTTAAATTTTCCTCCAAGAAGTATGCATTTGCAAACTTGCAGTAGTGAAAAAGTGCAGGGTTTCACTGCTGCACAGGAAATGCTCATCGCTTCACTTGTTTTGACTATCATTTCCACCCACCACCATCTGATACTGCTTAACTTACTCACCTGGGACTTAATCACATTGTATAAAATATCAAATGCATAATTAAGAAGTCAATCTTTTTTGATAGCTTTGGCTTATACAGAGACTTTCTAGTAGTTGACACATAAAAAGAAAAAAAGTGCAATATCCCTCAAATGCATATTTTTTATGTTCTTTTAAACATACATGGATTTTCCCAGTATGCAATGGTTTCCCGCTCAACAAAAAAAAAAGAAAGAATTAGGTTAACTGGGGATTTTTTATGTTTTATTTCTTGTTAACAGCGCCTCTTTCTGTGACAGAGGTGGTGACCTCTGCTGCGTTAACCCGCCTCTTTGCCGTTCAGAGCTGGAAGAAAGAGGAAGACAAACTATTAAAACACAGTTCTGGTGAGAAGACTGACTAATTCAAGTTACTTTTTTTAACGGGAAAAAATATGCAGCAAATATCTTCAGCGAATTTGAATAAGGGTTGAGGGCACCTGTTTATATTAATTTAAGATAATATTTAATATAAACAGTCATACAAACAAACACAACTAGGCTATAGAAACAATAGGCTTACACATAAGCCGAAGGTTTAGATTTAGATTTCAGCTTATTTTCATTCAAACTAGACGTTATTTTTCAATACCATCCTTTTTAAATAATTCATCCAGATGCTGTAGATTGTACAATGCATCTTGCATGACACTGTCAGTCAATGTCATTTGAGACTTCAGAGCACAAATTATGGCTTAAACAAATCTAAGTGAATCTTCACCTTGATAAAAGAGGGGCAAAGTTAAATAGATGCTATTTAATGCTAAAAGAATGGAGTAAAGTGAAAATCTTTTCCTAGAACAGTCATTATATAACTTTCAACTGGGGCTATGTATAAGTACATTTAACCACAGTCAAAAAGGAAGCTAAGAAACATGAGCTTATGTCTGGCTTGTTGCACACATAACCTATTTAAGGGGTTTTAAGCTTTCCGGTTTTAACTATTTGTAATTAGTGTCCAATTAGCAAAGCCAACTGAGAAAAATAGTTCATGGTCCTGAAAGGTGCATAACAGGGAACCAGAGGCCTATTTCAAAAAAGCTGAATGTGGAATCCAGGATAAGAGATAAAGCCCACCTTGATGTCCAATGATCAATGCATATATATCATATTTGTTGCATATATATTTAGATTTATTCCATATATATATATATATATATATATATATATATATATATATATATATATATATATATATATATATATATATAT